TTTATTTGTTTTATTTATTTGTTTTATTTATTTGTTTTATTTATCTTTTATTTATTTCTTTTCTTTGCCTTCTTCTGAGGTGCTTATTTGCTGCTTGGTGTATTTGTATGAGTGGAGATGATTATAATATTATTATTTTTATTTATTATTGTTGTTATAACTTGAATATTATTATATTATCTTTAATATATTATTATTATTTTTATTATGTGTATATTATATTATTATTATTATTATTATTATTATTATTATTATTATTATTATTATTTTATTTTTATTTTTATTTATTAGCGGTGTTATATTTAATATATTATATTATTATTTTATTATTATTATTTATTAATGCTGCTGCTATTCTATTTCCTTTCTGTGTTTGTTTTTAAAAATTATTACTTCATTTTTTGTTAAAACTCTCTTGTGCGATTGTTGCGGCTAAACCCTAAACCCTAAACCCTAAACCACCATGAGGATACAGCAAGCCCTGAACACTAAACCCTAAACCATTAGCCCTACAACCTAAACCCTAATGCATAAACTCTAAACCCTAAGCCTTTAGCCCTACACCCTAAACACTAAACTTAAAACTCTGGCAATAGGTAATATTCTTTTACCTAAACCCTAAACTCTATATCCTAAACCCTAAACCCTAAACCCTAAACTCTATATCCTATTACCTCAACCCTAAACCCTAAACCCTAAACGCTGAACTCCATATCCTATTACCTAAACCCTAAACCCTAAACGCTATATCCTATTACCTAAACCCTAAACCCTAAACGCTATATCCTATTACCTAAACCCTAAACGCTAAACTATATATCGTATTACTTAAACCCTAAACCCTAAACCCTATGCAGATGTTATAGAGAGACTCCCGCAAGCACCTTACTGCGTCTGTTATTATTGAGATTCGTCTATTAAGGGCTTATGCTGATTTAAATAATAATTATATTTTCTTTTTTATATTATTTCCTTTTGTTAACTATCTTAGGAGTGAATTGCATGCAATTGCTGCACAGCCAGCCCAGCCCCGGCAGCAGCAGCAGCAGTAGTAGCTGTTGCAGCAGCAGCAGCAGCAGCTGCTGCTGCTGCAACAGGTCCTTCCTGTTGCTGCAGCAGCTGCATTTGGTGATCTCTCGCTGTTTGTAGCGAAGCATTTAAAAGGAGTTGATCGCATTTTTATTTTATTTTGTTTATTCTTTTCTTAAAATAATATTTATAAAGGAGAGTTTCGCAGCAGCAGCAGCAGCAGCAGCAGCTGTATATACAGCAGGAAGCGCAGCAAGCGGTGTAGGAGATCAGCTTGCGTTGTTGGAGACTACCCTTGTTTTTTTAATTCTAACTTTTATTTTAAATTCTTCTTTGAATTGCTGCTGCACCTGTTGAAGCTTCTAGCTGCAGCAGCAGCACCAACAGCAGAAGCAGTAGCAGCAGCAGCGGGAGCAACAGCAGCAGCGGCGACAGCGCTCCTTGGCTTACTCTCGGGTGCTGCTGCTGTTTGCTTCTTCTCTTTTGTTTGTTCGTCCGCTGGTTATTATCTGCTGCAGCAAAGGAGCTTCTTCACTGCTTCTTCCTGCTGCTGCTGCTGCAGAAGACTGCAACGCTGCCTCTGATACTCTATGTTAGGAAGCAGCAAGATGAGCAGCAGCAGCAGCAGCAACAACAACAGCAGCAACAGCAGCAGCAGCGGCAGCTGCAGGGGCAGCAGCCGAAGCCCAGGTAGCTGCAGCAACAACAACAACAGCAACGACAGCAACAACAACAACAACAACACTACTACTACTACCAGCAGCAGCAGCAGCAGCAAGCCCGTGCAGCAAGCAGCAGCAGCAGATAGCTGCGAAGCAAATCTCAATAAAGCAGCAGCAGCAGCAAACAAAAGAAAGGATGAGTTACTCTGGACGCGTATGTTTGTCGAAATGGGGCTAAGACAAAAACCCTTACCACCGCCTCCTAAGACATGGAAGGACATGCTCGCTTGTAAACCCTAAACCCTAAACCCTAAACCCTAAGCCCTAAACCCTCGCTTTAAGGGGCTGTTAATGGCTTTTGTTTGCGGCTTTTCTTACTTTGTTTGCTTCACCTCTTCTTTTTACTATGTCCTGTCCCTAAACCCCTAATAAACCCTACATTCTTTATAAACCCTAAACCCTTTATAAACCCTAAAACCCTTTATAAACCATAAACCCTAAACCCTAGGCAGGGCTTCCTCATCGCCCTGCCTAGGGTTTAGGGTTTATAATTCAATGCAGTGTAGGGGGTCCACCCAGCCAGAGCAAACGCTGCAATTAGGGTTTAGGGTTTAGGGTTTACGGTTTAGAAGGGTTCTTCTTCTGCGGTGTTTGCTGCTGCTGCAGTCCTCGGCGTTATCTGCTTAGCTGCGTTGGTCGCCTCGGAGGTGCGCTGCGTGCAAGTGGCTTAGGGTTTAGGGTTTAGGGTTTAGGGTTTAGTGTTTAGGGCTTAGGAGAGGGGAGGTTCTTTGCACAGAAGAAGAAACAAACAGAGGCCGTGAAGAGCTCCAACGGCTGCTTCTAAAGGGTTTAGGGTTTAGGGTTTAGGGTTTGGGGGCTAGGGTTTGGGGTTTAGGGTTTAGGGTTTAGGGTTTAGGGTTTTGCTGCTCAGTTCGGTTACCGGTGTTACATGGACTATCACTACGGCTTCGAGGCAATCGATACGACTGATGCGCAATTCCTAAAGGGTTTGTCCTCCAGGGTTTAGGGTTTAGGGTTTAGGGTTTAGGGTTTGGGAGGTTCTAAGGGGGGTTTAGTGTTTAGGGTGTAGGCATTAGGGTTCAGGATTAAGGGTTTGGGAGCCGTATTGGTGTTTAGGGTTTAGGGTTTAGGGTGTAGATGTTAGCGTTCGGGATTAAGGGTTTGGGAACCGTATTGGGGTTTAGGGTTTAGGGTTTAGGGTTTAGGGTTTGTGTTTGTTGCAGAGGTGATGTTTGGAGGCAAGCCGTGGATTGTGCTGTGCAAGTGGCCGCAGAAGAGGACGTAAGCGTCTTCCCCTTTAGGGTTTAGGGTTTAGGGTTTAGGGTTCAGGGTTTAGGGTTTAGGGTTTAGGGTTTAGGGTTTAGGGTTTGTCTGCAGCAAGGTGCCGGACGCCGTAGACAAGAGCCGCATTGAGCTGCTGAAGATGCTGCGATTGGGCCGCGTGGATTGTTCAGGTAAAACCCTAAACCCTAAACCCTTATTTTAACCCTAAACCCTAAACCCTCATCCTGAGTCTTTTAGCCCTAAACCCTAAACCCTCATCTCCAGACTCCAAACCCTAAACCTTAATCTTCAGTCTTTTAACCCTTAAAAACCTTCATTTTAAAACTCTAAACCATAAACCCTCATATTTAGTCTTTGACTCCTAAACCCTAAACCCTCATCTTAAAACCCTAAACCCTAAACCCTCATCTTAAAACCCTAAACCCTAAACCCTAAATGAGAATATATGCACTGTATGTCTGCACGTTGACATTAATGAATAAAACAAAACAACAAATAAATTTATTTATTTATTTATTTAATTAATTAATTAATTAATTTATTTATTTATTTATTTATTTATTTATTTATTTATATTTGCAGCGAAGCTTCCTAGCGGGGTCTCCTTCGCTGAGCGGTTTCGGCTGCCGAGTAATACAGCCGGCATTTTAATATCTAACGGACGGCCGCCTCGTTTATTAACGCCGTGGGCGTTAGAGACGCCTAAACAACTTCTTTCTTTTGTTCAAAGACATATTAAATTAGATTTCAAGACCATTGATGATGTAAGCCCTCTATATATATATATATACATATATATATATATATATATATATATATAT